TTGGGGGAATCTCGTCGCTAATCAACACTTTCGATGTCCGATGTCAGATTAACTGTGAAAAAATGGCTGTTTTGTTTTGTATTCACATGGAATAGTAACTATCGGGCAAAAAACATTGAAAAGGAAACATTTTTTGAACATAAATTGATGCTTCTATAAGTGCAAAAATTTGTGCGTTTTCTTTTCATCAAAAACGCTTTTTAAAGCACTGATTCGGTTGGTTTTCAATGTACACCTGAAGAACATCTATCAAACAATGTTTTAACATCAAAATTTTCATTCACATTACTCAAGTGCATTTTTACGAGCTTTTTTCGCAAACACATTTTCATTCGAGAAAACTCAATGTTTCGCTTAGTAGAAAATTACTATGACATGAAAATCTGACTCTATGAACTTCACACTTTCACCCCGTATCATCATATAAACATTACTTTAATAAAATACGCGTGAAAATGCTTGTCGAAATGTTGACAAAAACATACTATTTTTGTTTACGTTTTTCTAATCGTCCTCGACCCGTCAACTGATAGTGCCCCTTCCCTATAAGTAAGCCAAAGACATCGAGACGATGCAACGCAAAAGCGCAGTTTTATGGCTATTTCCGCTCTTTTGAAAGTCAGCGAGATTGTTCAGTAGGGTGGGCAATGCGCAATATTTAATTTGCTGAATTTTCTTTGGGAACCAGAATCATCTTTCTTTCAAAGACTGGATGTTCTCGTTAATTGTATTAAAAAAATATATAATTTCAGGTCATATTCAATTAATAAGCTAAGATTCTAAACGAATTGAATTAATTTTGTTTTGTTTTTTAACAGTTCGAGTATCAACTGTTGCGTTTCCCTGTGCTTAAAGATTGGAAAATGTTGTTTCCGTGTTGTTTGGTTAAAGCAAGTGGATTCCAGTGGATGCACGGTATCGGATTGGGCCAAGAAACATTCAGAAACGGAAGTGTTCTGCAAAATCGGTAGAAAATCATTTTCGATTACGAAAGGATTCCAGGCCATCGATCAACATGCGAGGTCCGCAAAACATAGAGATGCACGGATCGCTCAACACGGTGCTAACCAAATGCATCTAACCGTAGAGCAAGAAGCGGGGTCCTCTGAAATAGTTCCGAACAAAAAACTTCAATTATTCAGTGAGAAGCATAAGATAAGGTTGAATCACATTAAATTCAACCAAGAAATAGACATTCATTTTACATTTTTTTTGCAAAAAATGTTAATTAAAACAAGTGGTTCACTATGAGATGCTGAAAGCTTTAGGGTTTTAATTTGAAACATCTGACTATATGTTAGATTTTGCTGTGCTTCCGTAATTGGTAATTTTCCGTTTGATTTAATCAATATTTTTCATGGATTTTACCGGATAATCGCTCCAGTTTTTCTGACCAATTACAATAATACCAATAGTGCACTAAACGAAGCGGTCAAATTTAATAAGAGCCGTAATGCATTAGGAGATGCCATTAGATAACGAATAGTATTGCGAACTCAAAGCTGACAAAAACTCATATGGGACTGATGTGCAGCCCTGCCTGTAAGAAAGCTGAAAACATATAAGTGCTTGTATACAATACCCAACCCAGGGTCACAGTTCCGACATTCAACGCTCAAAGCTTGAGGGTATTTGTTCAAATGAAATACTACATGGATGCGCATGAAAGCTAGTAGAATTGCCAGTCTTCTTGGTACGTTGTGTTCCATCGAACAGCTGAAATTTAGATGTGTTTTCCTGCAGATGAAGACGGATTATATAGGTTGTTGTATTGTAAAACACGCAAAAAACCATACAATAGCGATTGTTTTTATTAACGATAATTATAATGAATTTTCATAGCATAATGTTTAAAATGTAACACACATTTTGGGCAACAATTATGAATTAGAACAGGTTTACTGAAAAAAGGATTTATCTTGAAAATTGAACAAAATGAAAGAGTAGCCAGCAGCAGGCTAGTGTAAAAATCAATCACTCATGTCTGTTTACAACAGATACCGATCATACAAGAACAAATACTACTAATATTGACAAAATGCTTAAAATCTTCTTATACATTTTTAAATTGGAGCTCAATAAGTTCTACTTGAGTCTCCTTTTTTGGTCACTTTTTGTGCCTTAAAAGTCACTTAATGGTCACTTTTTTACTCATTTTAGTCACTTAATGGTCCCTTTTTTACTCATTTTAGTCACTAAAATCACTATTTTTGGATATATTTGGTGCTATCAGCCCTGCGTGCATAGGTTCATCGTAAGATAGGATTGACATGATTTCATTTTCAAAATATATTGAGGATGGCACTCTTGCCCCGGGTGACCTTATTGCCCCTAGTTCCCCTAGTAGTATACAAATGGTATTTCTAGGTTTTTTTTTGTCGCGGATTTTTTTTTTTTTAGAAATCGGGGGTCAATTTTAGGAAATCTTGTAACAGCCCTGGAATTTCCTCATAATATTCATGTGATTTTGTGGTGGGATTGTAATAATTTTTTGAGTGAAAGGTCGCGAAATTTTGAAATTATTTGAAATTAATTTTAGTTTTTGTGTTGTACTTTGTATGGCGCAGTACACTGAGGTAAATGGACGTAAGAGTTCCATAAGATCCACTTATGAATTTTAGCCACAAGAAATCAGTATGAGTTTCACTGATTTGCCTTATGAAAAATAATGTTGACAAAACAATATTAAAACTCAGCAGACTAGAACCGAACCGGACGTTTAGATTACAAGGCCTGTGTGTTGACCACTCGTCTTTCAACGCTTGAGAAAACAAGATGGTTATAGGCGTGTAAAGCGAACCCCACACGTATCAATATATTGACGCGAAGGGACAATAATATTGATGATGTGAATACAGACATATTGTCAATACTGATGTATTGACGTCAATATTGAGTGTATTGACAATACGATTATTGTCAATAAAAGCAATCGTGTAGGGTCCACTTAAGAGCTACCTCATGTTAGGCGAAAATCATTCATAAGTCACGCTTGTGAACTTCGTATGGGTCGTTCATAAGTCGAGCCTTATGAAATTCTTAAGTTTATTTGCCTCAGTGTAGGGTAGAGCGCTACTTCGTCGTAATCGCCTATTTCCGTTCTATCGATCAGAAAAGACCAAAAATATCAATGATTTCACCGTGCACAAATAATAATAGGTTCGTTCCTATGCGTTAGTTCATTAGCTACAACATAAATCCTATTAGAGCACATTGTATGAATATTTACGTTCATTGTTCTCAAAACAAAAGAAGCGCTCCTAGCGAATCCCTTTTTTCTACGTTTATTTGTAGGACGAACAAAATCTAATGGCGTTAGGGCGAAATTGAAACTCGTAGGACAAATTTAAAATCAAGAAGCAACCGAATAAAAATGTTATGGTTAATTTGCTTAACGACGTGTTCGGAGTATCATCCAAACCATTTGTGGAATAGTTAAATTATTTGGGTTATCGTTCGTTTACGGTAATTTTTAATTAGGGCAGTGTTAGATTTTAAACAATATCTCAACAATTTGTGACTCTTTATCAAATCCAAAAAAAAGGTGATTGAATCTGACAGAAAAAAATATTTTCTTTAAACCCGTACAAAAAAGAGAGGTATAGCGCGGGTTGTGCGTAGTAGGATGGAAATTTGATCAAAAACCCTACTGAAAGGTTAAAAGAATTTCAGCAATTTTGACACCAAAGTATTTTTGAGAAAATTTCCTTAGGAGTTTTGGGAAGAACTCTACGAGAGTTCTGACTACAACTTCAAATCAATAACGAAAGTTCAGAGTAACAATTTTAAGAAGCTCTGTGGAAATTTTCATAAACGATTGTGAAGAGGATCCCAGGAGCCGTGAAAAATTCTAAGGGAATCGAATTTTGAATGGAATTCCACGAAGAGTTTAAAGGGAAATTCGAGGAAAATTCCAAGGGCTTCTCGAAAAGAATTTTTAGAGAATTTTAAAGACAATTCCAAGTGAATTTTCAGAAGAATTTAGAGCTCCAAGTTTATTCTGAGCAACTTTTTAAGATATATCTGAGGTGAATTGCATGGCAATTCTAAGTAGAATTCAAGTGAATCAAACAAATTGGATAGACGCTTTAGTGCATTCTTATGAAAAACTTGAGAATGTGTTTCAGTGTGGAGTGATCTGGGCTGTTACAAAGAATATAAAACGAATTCCTAGAGAGAACCTCAATATGGAGTAGTACAGGTGGCACAGTACTCGCGGTCAGCCAGTATTGGTGAGTTCTTTGCCGTTAATGTTCATGAAAAGTTTACTAATTTGTCCTAAGAAATGGCAAAAATTAGAACGGAGGGATTTGGACAGTTTTAAACCTGGGGGGGGGGCGACCCCGACGTGGTACCTCTCACGCCAAAGTCACGAGTTCAAATCTCACCCCCGGAGAAGTCACGAATGACCTAAGAGCGTTAAAGTGACTATAATTAAAAAAAAAAGGTTTTAAACTTGTTCCATACGACCGGAAGGTGTATGCTAGTCACAAATGCCTTATCAAATTGATGTCCTATGCAAGTGATCAATCTTTGATGTGAATTTCGCGGAGCATTTCTTATAGCAAAACTTGCAATACGAAATGCTCATAGTTCCTTTTAGTAAACAAACTAACATTTCTTCTTTCTGTGCCACCCTCTACTACTCCATCTTGCTACCCCTCACTCTTCCGTAGATGTTTCGTGTTTTCGAACAAAGAACGATTAGTTTGTTCGTAATCGATTCAATCTGTTTTCTACCTTCTGGTTTCGCACGTGTGTACAAGATTCAACATGGTACCTACTGAACCTCCTCGTTCAGTTGTGATTTTTGATCATCCTTTACATTCGTCACGCCGCTCGTGGCTGGACGCAATCTACCGAAAGCGATTATTATATTCCTACCCTGGTCTGTCATTCGAATATGAATGAGTCATCCATATTCACGTTGTTCGGTTGTCGCCAAATGTTAATTACTAATCCCTTTTCTGTTTGTTTTCTGGTTCTCTTTTTGGTTGCAGTGCAGCCTATCGGTGTCAACCTTGCTGCGGTGAGGCAGTGGTGACCACGTCGGAAGTAACGAATTAAACATACAGCAAATCGAACATAAGCATGGAACTACGCGTAGGCAACAAGTACCGGCTAGGTCGGAAAATCGGATCCGGTTCGTTCGGTGACATCTACCTGGGCACAAACATTTCGACCGGTGAAGAGGTGGCAATAAAACTAGAATGCATCAAAACGAAGCACCCACAGTTGCACATCGAGAGCAAATTCTATCGGATGCTGCAGGGCGCGGTCGGAATCCCGACGATCAAATGGTGTGGCTCGGAGGGCGATTATAACGTGATGGTCATGGAACTGTTGGGACCGTCGCTGGAAGATTTATTCAACTTTTGCTCAAGACGTTTCACACTCAAGACTGTACTGCTGTTGGCAGATCAGATGATTTCTCGCATCGATTTCATACACTCGAGAAGCTTTATTCATCGGGACATCAAACCGGACAACTTCCTCATGGGACTGGGGAAAAAGGGGAACCTAGTGTACATAATTGATTTCGGATTGGCGAAAAAGTATAAGGATTCAAAGACGATGGCGCACATTCCCTATCGGGAAAATAAGAATCTTACCGGTACGGCTCGCTACGCTTCCATCAACACACATTTAGGTATTGAACAGAGCCGTCGAGATGATCTGGAATCGTTGGGCTATGTGCTGATGTATTTCAACCTGGGTACTTTGCCGTGGCAAGGTCTGAAGGCTGCCAACAAACGGCAAAAGTACGAACGGATCTCCGAAAAAAAGCTTTCGACGCCTATCGAAGAACTGTGCAAGGGTTTCCCGGGGGAATTCGCTTCGTATCTGTCCTACTGTCGTCAGTTGGATTTCACGCAACGTCCAGATTATTGCTATCTGCGTAAGGTGTTTCGAACATTGTTTGCGCGGCAAGGTTACACATACGACTACGTGTTCGATTGGAATATGCTGAAGTTTGGAGGATCTTCCCGTCACAACAATGCCACTGAGCGAAATAAAACCGGCGCCGTCGTTCAGCAGACCGACCCTGTCGCCCTTGGTTCCAGTATGGTGGCCACTGCTGGTGGTGGCGTAGTAACGACCGTAACAGGAACGACTGCCTCCCTAGCGAAGAATGATTCCTGCAAGCAACTCGCCAACCGGCTGGTCCAGATGATGGCCCAATCGCGACCGCCCGGTGCCGATCCACAGCAGGTCCCAGTGCCCGGATCCCAGCAGCAACAACAACAGCAACAACCATCCCACAACAACAACGCCGGAAGTACGAATCCGGAACCCATCGCCACTTTCTCCCGGCATGACACACCCGAACGCCGCTCATCCATCCGTCTGCGTGGCCAGAATCTTGACTCACGAAACATTGAATAATATTAAATTCATTATTTAAGTTTTTATTTACATATATAATATTATATACCTAAATTTTGGGATCCAAGCAGCAGATCCAGCGATTGCTTATAGTTTACCGTCTGTCTGTTGGCGAATCTTGGTGAAACAAATTGGCTGCAGCTGCAGCAAACCGAGGATAAGAAAACGCGAACGGGTCATCCTTCTTTACCTTATTTTTTTTATTTTCAATGCAAAGAAGGCCCTTTCGCAATGAATTACCCACACACAGAAAATAGACTAGCTAGAGCAAAGATTAACATACAACCCAGAATCGCGTGAAGCCGTGAATAGGAATACAACACTCAAACAATGTTTATTACTTTAGTAGTAATGTTCTAGGAACTGGCCATTTTCGGGAGAAAGGCAGCGCAGCGCGTGCAAGATTAGAGGATGAGCGAGTAAGAGAGTAACAGGTTATGTAGAATCATAATAGGTATAATGGAATTATTAATTAATTCATTAATTAATAACATAAATGTAGTAATGTTCAAGCTGGAAGAATGATCCGAGAAAATCACCCACACAAGGAAAGTGAATTTGACAGATATAAGCACCCCTCACTTATATACACATGAATTACAATGAAGGAGTGAAATTAAAACTCGTACGTCTACCTACATAAACAAAGAAACAAAACAAAAATAGAATTTTGCGTGACAGAAAAAAAAATGGAAAGAAATGAGTAGAAATAGAACTATTAAACATATGCCGTATGTTTAGGGATTAAAATCTGAAAACCAGTCGATAACAACTAACGATTTAACCGTATAGGCTATATTACTGCATAAACACACCATCATTAGTATACACGTGAGGGGCTCCAATGGTTGGCTAATCATGTTTAATTCTACCAGAGACAGAAACCTCTCTAAAAACGCTCAGTTGACTCGTCTCATCTCCATTCCTGACATTTGAGCCCCAGTGTACACAGCCACTTGATCATACACCGGGCGAAATAAGTGTAAAATTAAACTTCAAATCGCGACTTCTCAGAAGGACCAGGAGGTTCCTAGTTTCTCGTTCGACGACATCATGTTTTGACTTGTTAGATGATCCCATTTCCCATTTGCCGTCAACATATGGTACGTCATTTACGCTTGGCCCCTTGGGCAAATTCGAAAATACATATGTGTAGGAACATTTTACGTAGAAACGTATAGATAGATTGTGATTTGAAGTTTGTACTTATTCTGTCCAGCACAGAAGTGTCCATGCAGTGTGTAGGGGTAAATTTCACTAGATCTACTAGAACAGGAGGATTCAAACCACGAGGAAAAGGATAAGCCTCCTGGCGTTCGAATAAAATCATGCAACAAAAGCAAACCAACTGTGTAAATTATTTTAAATCCTCGTGCAAGCGTAATGAATTTATCCAGCACATGTTCTTTTTCCTATTCAAACGGTACCGACTTGCTTGAACTAAAATCCCGTTCTCGTTCCACACCTTTTTGTGTCACATTGCTAATGAGCTAAAACAAAAAAGTAACGCATTTAACTTTTACATTTCTCCAAAATTAAAACGCATCAACATTTTGTTCTGTTGTAAAATTAAGATCCATGACCTTTTTCTATATGTTTGGATGCAATTTGTATAGGGATGCGCTGTGTAGAACTGTCAATGGAACTAAGAAGAAAACTACAACTAGTAGAAGAAGAAGTAACCAGGCTCCAGTAAATATAGTGTTAATAAAAATGAACAGTTGCGAATAGTGTATGGCTTATACCGCTATGCATGTGTGTGTGTGTGCGTGTAGAAGAGAATGTGTGAGACTGTGCGACGTTATTCTACCTTACTTTTTGTAACTAGTTTGATTTGATCTTTTTGCGGCGTGAAGTGATATTTGAGAGATTGTTCTTCATTTTGTGTCTCTTTTGTGTAATTATAGAGTATGAGTAAAGTAAAAGAAAAATTAAAAAAATATGCAACTAGATATACTAGAACAGTGAACAGTAAGAATATAACGCGTTCCCAAGCTGGAAGGCGATGGGAAGAAAGATTTAACTACTAACGGTAATGATACAATGATTTAGTACTATATATACAACTAAGAATAAACAAAAAAAATACCAATCGTGATAGTAGAGAAGTAAAGAAACAAAAAAAAACAAACAAACAAGCAGAAACTTTTTTCAAGGAAAATCGAGCCAGAGCGAAACATTACCGAGGGCTGGGAAGATGCATGATCAGATTCATTTTTTGCTTGAAACGAGAAAGGAATCAGAGTTTGCAACACAAAACAGCGAACCCCCCTTTAAAAACGACTGTATAGAACTGTTGAAGATAAAAACAAACGCGAGCCCCTTTAATTCATTGCTGTGTTGGGGTACAAAAGAGAAAACAAAAACTAAAAACCAATTTTTGTCCGTAAATTTTGTATGTTTGGGATCGGTAAATTCATGCTGTCATTTAAACTTATTACAGAAAAAAAATCGTAAAAATTTCATCCACTTTTTGAAATTATAGGAAAACGTGGGCCAGATAAGGGAGGAGATAAATAAAAATCAATGCTTCTGCGTCTAACTTATAGCGATGTTTATCGATAAAAAAAACTACCTATAAATATAGTACATTATAATGAACAAGGATATAAATGAAAAATAATTCTAGAACAAAAAAAAAACTGCAAAACTACGTTTCATAATGAATTTACTAAATGAAACAATATAAAACAGACTACCGCTAGCAAACAAAACAAAACAGAAAAAAAAACACAACTAAGCGAAATGAAATGGAACGATACACTTTTAGACGGTGAACATATTAACAAACAATTGAACCGTTTATTGCCGTACGCATATAGAGAAAAAAAAACAAACAAAACAAATGGAAACAAGCAAAGAATGAAAAGAAAAGTAAGGAAATTCTTTGTTTTTCTGTTTTATTTTTTCATTTACCTTAATAAATAAAAAAAAAAAATAATTTTAAAGTGATTGGCTTCTTTTGCGGTTTGATGGTTCTCCCGCTGTTGGAGAGTATCGGCTGTGCTTTATTGAGATATCACCTGTATTCCTTGGACTTGGGGGCTGCATAATACAAAACAAAATCGTAACAAAGTGATGAAGTAGGGGAAATGGCTCTAATGTTGGCCTATGGATCTAACATTGGGCCCATCGCTAAAAATCTGCTATTGATCAATTTTATCTAGATGAACGCGTCATTGGAACGGTACTAATGGATATTTTTGGTTGCTATTGAAAATTTAGTCGATTGCTGAATTTATTTATGGGCCCAAATTAGGGACATTTAGGCCGACATTACATACATTTCCCCTAATTTTCTCATGGCAATTTCATTAAACTTGTCTTGGTATTTAGAAGAATGGCAACTCGACCAGCTCCGTTTTCTTCGATAAGAAGATATTACACTGGAGTCGCTTTTTACGCGGTTTTTTTTACACGGTTTTTTTCACGCGATTTTTTTTACGTGGATTTCGGAATTTACACGGTTTTTTTTTACGCGGATTTCGGAATTTACGCGGATTTTGATTTTTTTTACGCGGATTTCAGAATTAACGCGGTTTTCTCTTTGCATTGCTACAGCTAAGCGAAACAATTTTCTATAACTTGTTCAATGCAGAGTTGTAATAGGTTTTATTGGCTATCACAGGGTGGCCAGTGAACCGGGAATACCGGGAAATATCCGGGAATTTGAAAAGTACCCGGGAAAAACCCGGGAATGCGATGGAAGAACCGGGAAAATAAATAAACCATACCATAGGAACAAATTTTAACACGAGAATTTCCGAATAAAATATTAAAACAGAGTCATTCTTTACCAAATAAATTTCTTGCTCTTTTTGCTGCATAATTTACTGTAGTTTCCTGACTTATTCTTTTTAGAATTAAATCACTCAGCAAAATTACAATTTGATTTTTGTCGTTTCAATTTCAGATGTTAAGTGCATGGGCCTTTAAAGAAAATATTGGAGATGCTGGACTTTGGAAACAAATATTTGTTAAATCCGAAACTGAACTATTATTTTCCTTGGTTTTAATTTTTCGTTATTCAAAATTCTGATGACATGAATTCCAGAATTAACTTAGAATTCTTCTCTGAATTATCATGGAATTCTTCTGAAATTGACCAAAAATCACTTCGCGTAATGATTACAATTGAATTCTTTTTGGAATTTGCTGGGAAACCCTTCTAAGAACTTGATTGAAAGCCTTCTTAAAATTCCCTTGAACGGATACTTTGATTCCTTTGAAATTCTTTTCAAAATTTTATTTAGAACCCCCTTGGAATATTTTAAAGAAATTATTTCTATTTACACTACATTACAAATAAAAGTAAACAAAATTAGCTTCAATGTTTGACCTATGATTCTTATGTTAAATCGTGCACTGAATCCAAAAATGGAGTCAGAAAAATTTCAGTAAGAAAAATTGAAATTTCTTCTAGAAATGAGGAAGCTATATCAATTATTTGAACGCCAAATTGAAGGGGATTTTTTTTTTTCGATCAATTGAACATTATTTGTCAGAGAGATTAGTGGCATTGTTGTTAATTAATATTTTGTTAATTTTATTTTTATGTTTTGCATATTTCCAAGAAAATTTGATTTCAGCAAGGTAAATACAAATGTTTGTAATGGTTGTGCCAACAATACCACTAATCTTACTGAAAAATAGTATTCAGTTGATCGAAATTAATTTTTCTTACTCTTAATTTGGCACTAATATAATCGAAATAGCTTCATTACAGCCAGAGATATTTGTATTTTAGTAAACAAACTTTTATTAGGAGAAATTAATTTTTTGACTGTATCTAGAAAACTATACCACTAAGATTCTTCTTCACATAAAGCTCTCCAAATTCATCTTACAATTTCTAATTCCGAAATTGAGTATAATTCTGGAATTCTGCTCAGAACTTCTCCTTCGAAAATTATGTGGGAATCCTCCTCAATATTTGATTGAAATCAACACTTTGAATACTTTTAAATTTTACTAAATATTCCAGAGTTTGTCCGCAAGCTTCTATCGATTGTTCTGTAATGTGTTATAACCCTTAAAATGCTTGCAAGTCTCAGAGCCTTGGCAATTATGACTCCACGACTCATAAATACATTTTTTTTTTCATTTCTGTGATCTTGAAAAAATGTCAAAATCTCTCATTTTGATTATTTTTTCTCCAAATTTTGTGTGACGAAAATTGTTATTAATCACACATTTTGAAGAAAAGTTCTAGTTTCAAACTGTACAGAAAAAGTCTCAGAATTTTGGGAATCTTCTTAAATCACATTTTTTTTTATCCTTTCAGTGAATAACCTTTCAGTAATATTTTTCAAGTATTGGTCTATTGGACGTGCGTATTAAATTTCATGAACCATGTTTAGTTTCACGTTGAGTGAGTTCCAACGTCGAAAGTTTTCACATATTTGTTTGTGTTTAACTTTATACATCAGCGCAAGTACTGAAAGGTTAATATTTATGTTAGTATAGACAACGTAGTGAAGACAAATTTTCTTTATCCGATATCCCTTACAATTTCATTTTTTCTGAACCATTTTTTTAAATTAAAAACTTATTTTTCACAATTCTGTTTTATAACCTATTCATTCAGATAACATTTGGCCTTGCGACCTTAATTTCTGTTTCTTAATAAATTCTAGAGCTTTGAGACCATAAGATGTATCGAGCATAAAAAGCGATAGAAATTGTTTTTCAATGTATCTCGAAAGATCAATGATTTGTTTCGATTATATTAAGGTTCAATTTACTTTGATGCATTTGCAAAAAAAAAAAATCGAATGCAAATTTTTCGACGCATCATTTCAGATTGCAAAAAGCTCGCGTCATTGGGTGTAAATAGCAAAAAGAATAGAATGACGCGAGCTTTTTGCAATCTGAAATTATGCATCGATAAAAAAACTGCATTTGAATTTTTCGAAAATGCATCAAAGTAAATTGAACCTTAAGTGACTCATAAAGTTGAATTTATACTTTCAGTTTAAAAAATATTTTCTGTAATTCTGCTTTTACTTTTCCCACATATAACCTCAGAAAATTTACAGTTGGACACGTTTATAAAAATGCGTACAATTTCGTTTTTGGTTGAATATTAACAACCGGGAAATTTTAAAGATTTGAACCGGGAAAAAAACCCGGAATTCCGAAATGAAAATTCACTGGCCACCCTGCTATCAAAACCAACAGCAAATGCACAGACAAACGTTAAATCTAGCGAGTTATTAACAAAAGAGAAAATCGACGAAGAGAATCGATCATCGCGTTTACGCCCTTATGCATGCTCACCAAGGTTGCTTCCACTCACTTACTATAAAAACATATTTTTCGGAATTATGCAATCATTAGATGATATAATGATATGCTGTACTTGTTAGTAACGAGAAGAGGGTTTAAAGTATGTGTTTGACTCATAAAACCTGTGAATTTTGCTTTCAGAGCGTCACAATAAAGCGATCTTATGATTCGTGAGCGTTCGCTCAGAGTGAGCACTCACGAGTCGTAAAATTGCTGATTGTGACGCACTGAAAGCAATATTGACAGATTTTGTATATCAAACACATACTTCACGTCCTCATCTTGTAACTTACAAGTACTAATTATCACTATCTCATGATTTTATAATTCTGAAAAACATTTTTTTATAGCAAGTGAGTGGAAGTAACCCTGATGCTCACTGTCAAAATGTATGTATACTGATTTTCTTTCAGCAATTCTAGATAAACATTTCAAAAGGTCCTATCTGCATTGATCGATTCTCTTCATCGACTTTCTCTTTCGTCAATAACTCAGCTGCAAAACTTTTCCCTGTTGTACCTATTTGACGTTTTGGACGCTAGATAAGAACCTCCTTTATCAAACTATGTGGTAGAATTAGCGCGAAATCTGTTTGTATCCCAGCACGGAAGGTTAGTCTAATATGAGTCTAGCGTTAGTCTATAACACGTTAGATCATACGACTAACATTTGGTCTAATGTTCGTCTAATATTAGACTGATATGACACATTCTGTTAGACGTTACAGCTCGTTTCGAGCTCGTATGTTAGTCTAACGTGAGACTAACGTTAGGCATTTTTTTGTATGGCTGGTTACACGTCGTTATACCAGTCTTGTGGTGGAATTGTATGCTCGTTTGTTTACACTCTGCGATCCGAGCGCGAAGTTTGACACTTGACGCTCGGATTCTATGAACCATGCCTGAACACTATAGGCCCACGGCAACGGCAGCGGAAAAGCCCGATCTGAGTAAGCCTACTTGTCGGATTGAAAACTAGTTAGATCCAAATCGACTTCGGTTAGGCATCTTGATGTCATTAGTGACAACTGTCAAACTTTCCGTTTCCGTTCCGTTTCCGATCACATTGCGTTTGGGCCTTATGGATTTGAATTGTGACACACTTGGATTATGTGTGCCTTATATGGTGATATCAATAGCTTTGCACATCATAGTTCAATATTCTACTTTATCGACTTCTACTTTTCCGACCCTAAAAATGAATCGACAAATATATAAACAAAACTGCCAGAGGCCAAGAGCTTACACATATCTTTTTAATGGGTCTGATTTGGGATTCGATCATGGACTGTTGGGGTGTGCAGCTGCCGGAGTCTTCGTTCGATCCCACTGTGCCACGGTTGTTCTCATATATATGAGGCGGGTTGATAGGATAAAGTTACAACTCTTGTTTTCGATGTTTACCTTTCTGAGCAAGCAATTCACATTGCATTGAAATGCAAAACACTTCAAATCCATCTGTTTTGAACAGTAGTGTGATTCAATGTGCAATACACACGAATAGATAGTGAAAGATTTTCAACATTTCAAAGATTGAAACACTAGATATTAACGTGTATAACACTTTGAACCAAGGTGAAATACACTTAAAGTAAATGTGATTGTGCATTTAAAAAACATTAAAAACATTGTTTAAACACTTCGATCAAACGTGTGGATTTTTTTGAGTGTAGCATAAGATTCACACATGAAATGGATGTGTTTCACAATAAGCGCAAAATTAAGTGTGAGACACATGATGATGACGTGTAGAATTTTTTGAGTGTAGCAGAGTGTAATAACAACAATCAATACGAAACTAACGATTTTAAATTGGCTCACTACTTGACTAGCCTATTGGTCCCAAGCAAACGATTAACGTACCCTATTCTTATAGAGGTAACTCTAAGATCACTGGGTCCCGAAGAAAATCATTATTATTTTTGGCTCACTCAGTACCAGAACAACGGTCCCAAGCAGTCCCAAGCTATTTCACTCACCCCTGCATGTTCTACATGAATCCACACACCCCTGATGTTATCTGTCAAAGTTTCATAGCGAATCAAAACAAACATAGTGTAGTAATAGAATTTCAACTAGAATAGGGTACGTTAATCGTTTGCTTGGGACCAATAGGCTACTAAAGTGGTGAGCCAATTTAAAATCGTTAGTTTCGTATTGATTGTTGGTATTACACTCTGCTAGAATCCAAGCGTCAAGTGTCAAACTTCGCGCTCGGATCGCAGAGCATTTATTGAATAGTGAAAATTTCAAGCTTTCACTTTGCGACTGTGTTTTTTAGACTCTGGACCGATAAGCAAGATCGAGCGCCCGGAGAACTGGCTGCATTTTTTCCCATGAAGGCTACCGTGAGAATCGCGGAGTGGACCGGAGGATTGTATGGCACAGTAACCGGAGCTGGGAAAAGTAAGTATTAAGAGGAAATGACAGCCTCTTTCATCGAATCCCAGGGCAGTAGCTATCCAGGGTGGAATGCGCTGATAGGTAAAATTGATAATCGATACTGGTGCATCGTGGTGGCGATACTGCTGGTTAACGTATCTAATTTATGAATCCTGGGAGTGGGAATGTGTCGGTTATGCGGTATTAATATTTTTGAGGATTTGAAACCGGCGTAACTGATTTGCTGGGTAACAGACGACGGTGAAGAAAATTTACAATATTATCGGTACAGCTGAAAACCGGAATAACCCACTAGTGACAATCGATTTTACACTAGTTTTGTACTTTATACAAAGTGTCGGAAGTAGTGCACTGTAATCGCATAATGATGTGCTATAATGCTAATGCTATTCCACTTAATTAATTTTGGTATCCATGGCAGATACGTATTTCGACTACAATGTGCAGTCTTCATCAGTGTCATTCCCACTTGTGGTTTCATTTTTATACCTATATGATCTTGACTTTTTTACCTAGGGGATGAGTACTTAACCCCCTTAAGATTTTGATAAGTTCTTTAGTGGGAATGACACTGATGAAGACTGCACATTGTAGTCGAAATACGTATCTGTCATGGATACCAAAATTAATTAAGTGGAATTAAATGGAAGATAACCTTTTTTGCTGTTTTATTTAGCATTCCGCTAACAACCCAATTTCATTACTTCACAATAAATTGAAATTAACATGAAATCTGTCAATCTGTTGAACTGCCAGATTGTTCCCATTGAAAATAGGTTTGTTTATATTTACATCGGCAACACCTGATCACTCACACACTCACAGCTTTTTAGCTGTCAGGTCAACTGCGAAGTTTTTCATGGATCACCTTAATCCTACCTTTTTTTAATATCCTCAACAAGAGATGCGGCCCTGGTAATATAAAATGTCAAAACTTAACGCCGGTACACAGAAAAATAACACCGCACGTGTTTGTTGAACGTAAACAAAAACAGAAATTTCGGAACACTGAAGAATTGTGTTGAAATTTCAATGTAAGAATGAATAAATACACAGGATTTAGTGACTTGTGTGTTCCTTACAACAGTTCGTCGAAAGAGCTACTAGGAATACTGAATGAATTGATCGAACGTAAGTAGTACAATATCTTCGAATCGAAGCTGATCGAAAATGTAAACAAGCTGGATAGGGTTCCTCTGTTACAGCAGAAAACAAAATGTGTTATCAAAAAATTTATTTTTCGATTACCTTTTCTAGTGGGATATAAGAATGTTGCGATTGAGCAAATTTACGATCACGACAGTAGCGACAAGAAAGGTGATCCCATCCCAGTTCCTATTGATCTTAAACCGTTGAGTGTAAGTATCCTAATGATTTAGCTTTGACTTCTGTATTCTAGATAGAGCTGGAATTAGGGCGAAACAGCTTTTTTGTAAACAATGACTTCTCTCGATGATTTTTAGGAATGCAAGGCACGCCCACGCAAACCAGGGGCGTAGGGAAAGTCATTGTTATGCCCGAATTCCAGCTCTACCTAGATTGACCAACATTGTAATATTTTGACAGAAAGAACTAGATGGGCGGCTCCGGTTGCTGAACCGGTTGACCATTATCTATACGGAAGGTACCATTACGTTGGTCACAACTCGGTCGGTAAATCTCCGCAGTTACAATGTGGTGGCCGTGATCCCCAGAACGTTGGACGCATTTCAACACGCCTGTCAAACGATGCCATGCGATATCATTTCGTACAATTCGGACACCGTCCGGAACAGGATGGCCAGGAAGTTCTACTTTGTAGCGGTCAATAGAAATATAATGTTTGAAATCAAGTACGCTCCGGCTATAGTTAATTCGAACGATCGGAAAGACATTATCAATCGATCTCACAAGTACCACTCCTACGGGAAGTCGAAGAATGTTATTATCAGCAGTGAAGCGAGGAATCGGTTCCAAGTTCGGGGACCGTATGATATTGCAAATCTGTAAGTGCTTGTGCGGTTTCATGATTAATTAAACTCTCATTGTGTTTTTTGTTTCTCTTTCTGGCATGTAGTGGTCTAATATTTGGATTGAGTGAGGAGCAATCGAAAAATTCGATTCTCGCACTACCAAGAAAGGTGCTCATTAGCGCGGATTCTCGACGGCACGGAAAAGCAGGGTTGGTTGTGAAAATTCGTCAGAAAGCTGTGGACAGCGACGACTATTCAGACACGGAAGTTGAAGAGCCGATCAGCGACAGCGAAGAAGAGGAGGATGATGATGGGGAAGATCAAGATATGGAGCAAGAAGAAGTCCAGGAACCCCCAAAGAAAATTGCGAAAAAATCATGAGTGTTGATTGTGTAAATATGATCTTGATTTTAAAAGCTCAATATTTAGTTTAATTTGAGTATTTTTTCATTGTTTTGTGGAAACAACCAACTTCATTGCAATAATAAAAAATACACTTAAAAATACACTCGAACTTAGTTATTCAATTCAGAGATCCAATTGAAAAAAAAAAAAAGTAGAAGGGTCTGTGCCTAGGGGACGAAGGGAAGCTTGACGTAGGACCGCTAGTGGACGGAACATATGTGAACATTTAGTTCTTTTAATTGATCAATCATCAATTATCTTAACTCTTTCCATTTTTTTATTTGTAAGCGTATCAAATTTGTAGTATTTATTTCAAAGAGAAAGTTGATGAAGAGAATCGAAGAAGCTGTCAACTTGAGTATTTTCGATTCATCTACCCGACTTTAAAAGGTGTATTTTGATTTTTTTGTTATTTATGAATTTTTAAGTTTTGTGCATTTTGGTATTAAAGTGTATTTAATTCACCCCTCACAGGATTTCCTTCCGAATTATATGAATGGAGCGGGGCGGAAAGTATCGTTTGTGCAGTATATGTAAAAAAGGAGGAACTTCGAGAGATTGAACTCGTGAGAGCTAATTTTCTCACAAATTTGATTTTATTGGCTTTCTTGGACTGAATATACACCCAAAGCGAATTATTCCCACTTCTCTCAAATTCTGTATGGATTTTTAACACTTCCTACCAGCGTGTTCTGGAAAATGGTCGGACCAATACTTTCGGGCCAACAGTTCCACACCTTCTATAGAGACCAGGTTGAGCCTTGATAGCTAGCTGCTTGCGGGAACTGATGACCTTGACCAATGTCCAAATAATACTCTTTATCAAATTTTTGGTGGCCCTGAAAAGGACCGTTTTGTAGAGATGGTTGAGTAATTCTGAGCTGGGTGTTCAACACGGATGAGGCTGTCGAGCTGTATGTCGTTTGGAGCGAGGGTGACACGCTTGGCATAGATGACCGACCCGCAGCGACTCACGAAGAGCTACTGATTCCGATCCATAGTATAGCGGTTCAGCTTCTTCCTCCTTTGATGGTTGCTTATGTGGGCTCTGCAGCTCGCTGCTTTCAGGCAGCCTTTTGTTGTTACTGGAGAACAATTTTCAACGCCACACGCCGAAAGCACTGCTACTGCTGCTACTAATTTCGACGACCGAACACCACCACACAGTGGTGTGGTCGTTGGGAGCGTGTAGTTCTGAGTATGACGATGAGTGTGCAAAATATTACGCAATTCCATCCTCCCTATTCGCACGCGCCCGAGGATCGGAGGCGAATGCCACTTCGACTTTTTTTTTTTTTTTTTTTTTTTTTTTTAACTCTTTATTTGTTCCAACTTCAAAATAAATTACATTTCATTTTTAACCTAGGTGCTCCAGTTACTACAGTAACTTACCAGCCTTAATTGTTATGATATATATCTAAGTGTTTTTACATTGTTCCTGTCTTGGCAATTCAGTATTTTAAACAGGTTTTTTAAACCTGCATGTCAGTATAACAATTGATAGCTTAAAACTAAATAACTAAAACTAAATCTTATCTAAGTATAAAGGGAATTAATCGTTGCAATTGAGGATTGTAACGATTTTTGCCGGAAATTATTAATTATTTTGTTGGACATTTGTGCTAAAGTCTCAACATTCGAAATTCTATGTACTTCGGTAGTACTGTACCAGGGAGGCAACTTCAAAATCATCTTCAGAATTTTGTTCTGAATCCTTTGAAGTGCTTTTTTCCTGGTAGTGCAACAACTAGACCATATTGGCACAGCGTAAAGCATGGCCGGTCTAAAAACTTGTTTAAATATTAGAAGTTTATTCGTCAGGCAAAGCTTGGATTTCCTGTTAATAAGAGGATACAAACATTTTATATATTTGTTACATTTGGCTTTAATGCCCTCAATGTGATCTTTAAAAGTTAATTTTTGGTCAAGTATTAATCCAAGATATTTCACTTGGTTTGACCAGGAAATTGGAACTCCGTTCATAGTGACTATGTGACTACTACTAGGTTTCAAAAAGGAAGCTCTGGGCTTATGTGGAAATATTATAAGTTGAGTTTTGGAAGCGTTGGGAGAAATCTTCCATTTTTGTAAATAAGAAGAGAAAATATCTAAACTTTTCTGAAGTCTGCTGCAAATAACACGAAGACTTCTTCCTTTAGCGGAAATGCCTGTGTCATCAGCGAACAAAGATTTGTGGCAACCCTGAGGCAAATCAGGGAGGTCCGAAGTGAAAATGTTATACAATATAGGCCCAAGAATGCTACCCTGAGGAACTCCTGCTCTAACAGGTAGTCGATTAGATTTGGAATTTTGATAATTTACCTGCAGAGTTCTGTCAGTTAAATAATTTTGAACTAATTTCATAATGTAAAGTGGAAAATTAAACTTTTTCAATTTAGCAATCAAACCTTCATGCCAAACACTGTCGAATGCTTTTTCTATGTCTAGAAGAGCAACTCCAGTTGAGTGGCCTTCAGATTTGTTTGAATGAATTAAATTGGTAACTCTCAAGAGTTGATGAGTAGTTGAATGCCCATGGCGAAATCCAAACTGCTCATCTGCAAAAATTGAGTTCGTATTGATGTGAAGCATCATTCTATTCAAAATTATTTTTTCAAAAAGTTTACTTATTGAAGAAAGCAAACTTATTGGACGGTAGCTAGAAGCTTCAGCTGGATTTTTATCCGGCTTCAAAATTGGAACAACTTTTGCATTTTTCCATTTATCAGGAAAGTATGCCAAATGGAAACATCTGTTAAATAATTTTACCAGGAAAGACAAGGTACTCTCTGGGAGTTTTTTGATGAGGATATAGAAAATTCCATCATCACCTGGAGCTTTCATATTTTGAAATTTTTTAGTTATAGACCTTACTTCGTCCAAATCAGTCCCCCAGGAATCATCAAAAATATTTTCCCGAGAGAAAATATTCCGAAAATCCCGAGCAACCTGATTCTCAATAGGACTAGTAAGACCCAAACTGAAATTATGGGAACTCTCGAATTGCTTAGCAAGTTTCTGAGCTTTTTCCAAATTTGTGATCAAAATTTTACCACCTTCTTTAAGCGCTGGAATTGGCTTTTGAGGTTTTTTCAAAATTTTTGTGAGTTTCCAAAAGGGTTTGGAACTCGGGTCTAATTTAGAAACATTATTTTCAAAAGTTTTGTTCCTCAGGGCAGAGAATCGCTTTTTAATTTGTTTTTGCAAATCCCGCCAGATAACTTTCATGGCAGGATCGCGTGTTCTTTGAAATTGTCTCCTACGGACATTTTTAAGACGGATCAAGAGCTGAAGATCATCGTCTATTATAATTGAATCGAATTTAACCTCGCATTTTGGTACTGAGGCAGCTCTTGCTGCAACTATAGAAGTAGTCAGAGATTCAAGAGCATAATTAATTTCATCTTTGGTTTGCAAAGGAATGTTTGGATCGAAGTTATATTCCATAAATGTTCGATACTGCTCCCAATCAGCTCTATGGTAATTGAAAGTAGAGCTGTTGGGATTACAAATTATTTCTTGGGATATTTCAAAAGTTACTGGAAGGTGATCAGAACCGAAGTCAGCATGGGTAACCAATTGGCTACAAAGTTGACATGAATCAGTTAAGACCAAATCAATAGTGGAGGGATTTCTTGCAGAAGAAAAGCATGTTGGGCTGTTTGGATATTGAATTGTGTAATAACCTGCAGAACAATCATCAAACAGAATATTACCATTGGAATTGCTTTGAGCATTATTCCATGAGCGGTGTTTTGCATTAAAATCACCAATAATGAAGAATTTAGACCTATGACGGGTAAGTTTCTGGAGGTCACCCTTGAGAAAATTCTTTTGCTGGCCTACGCATTGGAATGGCAAATAGGCAGCTATAAACGTAAGTTGTCCAAATTTTGTTTCAACAGAAACTCCCAAAGTTTCAAAAACTTTGGTTTCAAATGAAGAAAGAATTTTATGCTTGATTCGTCTATGAATAATGATGGCAACGCCACCACAGGGTCCATCAAGACGATCATTTCTATAAATCAAGTAATTTGCGTCCTTCTTAACCTTATGGTCAGGTTTAAGGAACGTTTCAGTTATAACGGCAATATGCACGTTATGAACTCTCAAAAAATTAAATAGCTCGTCTTCATTATCTTTAAGAGATCGAGCATTCCAATTTAAAATGTTTAATGCTTTAAAATCCATTACTGAATTTTAAAGTCATGACAATATTATTAGCAAATTTTACTCCAGTTTGAATAGCATCAAACATGGAGTTAGATTTAAGCATATCAGAAATCATGTCAATTAATGAATTCTGTAAAAATTCCATTTTAGGGGCAGTAATGCTTCCTAAGTCAAAATTGTCAAAACTTCCGTTAGAACGTTGGTTAGTATTTTGATTTCTACCCGCTGCAATAGCAGCATAGGTAGCTCCATTAACTCGCTGAACATTGTTAGCAGCGAGGGGAGTAGGTACAGATGAAACATTTGAAGCAGGGGTGATATTTGTACCTACGGGTACGAATGTAGAATTTGTTCCTCGCTGACCGTTGTTACCAGCAGAGGAATTTATACCTGGTCGGAAACGTGAAGCGTTTCTTACCTGTCGGTTAGAACGAGATTGTAGGATCGCTTTGCGAGTCTTACATTCCCAAAAATTGGATTTGTGGTTTTCACCACAATTTGAACATTTAAATTTCTTAGGATTCTCCTTCACAGGACAGTCGTCCTTTGCGTGAGAGGAATCACCACAATTCATGCATTTAGCTGGCATGTAGCAATTTTTAGTTCCGTGACCCCATCCCTGGCACTTACGGCACTGAGTGAGGTTTTGGAAATTTCCTCCAGTCTTCCTGAAGTGTTCCCACTTCACTCGGACATGGAGCATAAGGCTAGCTTTTTCTAAGGCCTTAAGGTTGTTTAGTTCACTAGACTTGAAGTGAACTAAATAAAAATCATTAGAAATCCCGTTGCGCGAATCGCCAGGACGGGATTTCATTTTCATTTTGATTACTTGGAGTGGCACAA